CTTATTCTAGGGTTGCACCTTCAAAAACAAACCAAAACGACGTCTCATGACATCATGAGTTCATACTCCACTCTGCATTTAGACATTATTATTAATCACTGCCCCAGTGTGTCTTCGTCTCGGCTTCCTCTCCTCACCCCCAACCGGTCGCAGCAGATGGCTGCCCCTCCCTGAGCCTGGCGCTGCCGGAGGTTTCTTCCTTCCCACTGTCACCGAGCGCTTGTTCATGCGGCGGGTCGCCTTGTTCGGGTTTTCTCTGTATTACTGTAGAGTCTCTACCTTACAGTATAAAGCACTTTGAGGCGACTGTTGGTGTGATTTGGTCGCTATACAAATAAAAGAAAGTGTGATTCTTTGGAAACAAAGTATAAAGAAACCACGAGTGACTCAAGACTTGAAACTAAATCTGTGATTTTTACGGCACCGCAGAAAAAGAAAGTCACATTTACAGAGTTGTGAGGTAGACTTGGTGTGACGGTACCTTTGCTGGTGACCTGTGTGTGCACGTGTGTGTGTCACATTACTCCATTTCCATTTAAAATTCCTTTTTCACCTGTAGAAGGTGGATCTGGTTCCAGTCGTTGGCTCCGTGCTGTCAGTTTTCTCAGCAGCAGAAAGGAAGCAAAGCAAACAAACGAACACGGCAGAGTTTGATTGACTTCGCCTGTCAGAGGCAGCCGTTCGACGGCCATTGGTTCAGTCTTTGCGGGACGCTGACGGGCTGGATTAATTGGCTATAGATTTTCCCCGATCCTTTTGTGGAGATTGTTATTTTATTTAGTTTTAAATTTCTCATTACTCTTTGAGGCCTCGAGGCGTCAAGCGTGAGGCGAAGCAACACAAAAGCACAACGCTGTGAAATGAAGCAGAAGAGAGAATTTTTAAATGCACCATCAAAACCATCTGTCAGCTCCAAAAAGATTGTGGGAGTTTTTTTCTTGGTGATGTCAAAAAGCATCTGCTGCTTCCAGAACAAACTGGCCCTGATCGCGTCTTCAAGACGACGATGGAGACGATGTATACATTTTCTAAAGCGAGTCAGTAACTGGGAGAAAGAGACGGGCCATTATCACACACGAGTCTACTGCGATGTGATTTCATTTTAACGACATCGTGGCTTGTTTTATAAATAACATGTTCTGAGCGTGTTCAGTCAGCTGTTCGGGGGGGAGGAGGGGGGTGCATGATGTCTTTATCCTTAATGATATTTGCAAGTGAAAGCGTTTGAATGGATCTAAAACTCCAGAATTCTTTTAATTTTGACAAATGAGTCCAGCAGCGTGCTGCAAATCCGATTTCCTCTCTCCCCTCTTTGTCTCTGTCTCTCAAGCTCGTCGTCCCCCGTGGAGTGTTCAGTCAGGATGATTCCTCTTGATAGAAAGTAGGAGGATTAGTAAAACCTCAGTACACACATTAAATCATCTTCAGCTTGAGCCCCTCTCCCTCCTTTCTCATATTCCCTCCGTTATTTACTTATTTACTTATTTTTTCCTCCTCCTCTCTTTCAGGTGCTCTCTGTGCGGCTATGTGTGCAGTCACCCGCCATCGCTCAAATCCCACATGTGGAAGCACGCCGGAGACCAGAACTACAACTACGAGCAGGTTAACAAAGCCATTAACGAGGCGATCTCCCAGAGCAGCCGGTGAGCACATAAACTGCAGTCTCGGTCCTTCAGCCTTCGTTCAAGTTTTATCTCAGTGTTTGTAAATGTCA